TTTCATGCTCCTACCCTCCTGTCCTTAAAGCTAGCACAAAGTCCTTTTTAGGCTTTCTAAGAGGTGGGAGATTTTTCTTTAAAACCTAGACCCAGCGGTGTAAAGAATCATCGTGGATGCCAGTGTCAGGCCTTTGATTAACACCCAGGATTTAAAAAGTCATCTGTAGTCCAGAAGAACTGTGGTTTTCCTGGGCATCTCAGCACAGGAGCTGAGTGCAAGTTGTAAGGGGAGAATTGGGTTAGATGGGGCTTGTGAACCTACAGTAACCTTAATCCTTCCTTATTCCTTGGAGAGGGAAGGGAAGGGCCTCCCATGTGTGTTACCTGTGCGGGGAGGTGGGCTGGTCCAGTCAGCCACCCAAGGGGCAGCAGAGGGAGTTCAGTTCCACGGTGATACTTAGCCTCTGCTGTGTTCCCTGTGCTGCTGGGTTCATGGGGTACAAAAATGACTAAAACATGGTCCTGCTCTTGGAGCTTACCTCTAGTAGAGGATACAGAGGCAGAAAAGGATAATTTCAATTTTAATAGGGTTAAGATAGAGGTGAACACAGAGGGGCCACTAAGCCCATTGTTGAGGTAACATCTGAACTGAGTCTCCATGGACAAGTAAGGGCCTGGTGAGGAGAGGTGGGAAGCTTGTGTCGGAGTCAGGGGAATGGCCTCAGCAAAACCATGGAAGTGTGAAGTGCAAGTGTGGTGTTTTAGGGGGAACTGCAAAGAGTTTGGTCCGGGTTGCCAAATCCTAAGCACCTAAGAGAGTTCCTGACACGTGGTAGACTCTTAAATGTCAGTGCAATTAATCCAGTATTAGGTAGAGTATTAGGTGTAAGGTAGAGAATTAGGTGAGTCTGAAGCCATTCTTGGTGTCAGCGGTAATACACACCTGGAATTATATGGTTACTACATGCCAGGCACATATGGAGGACTTTGTGTCTATTAACTTAATTAATCCTCACAGGAGCCTTATGAGATAGATACTATTATTACCCCTATTTTTGATGAGAAAAGTGATGTCTGGAGGGGTTAAGTAATTGTCCAAGGTCACACGGCTAGTAAATGATGGAGCTGTGAAAAGAATTCTAGGTTTGGAGAGATGTTGTCCCAGAACTACCATCTCACAGGGCTGCTCAAAGACAGGTTAAAGGGTCCTAATGGGAGACAGGGATGGGCCACCCATTCCAATAGAAGGAATCTAGTTACACAGGTATCTGGTTCAACTTGGATAGAAAAGAGAAGGAATAAGATGTTCTCAGAGGACCCCAGACTCCATGTCAGTCTGAACTCCCAGGCCTCCTTTTTCTTTCTTTCTTTCTTTTTTTAAGCAGCAGCACCTTTTTTTTTTTTCTCACTTACCACAACAATTTTGGTGTGTATTGCGTGCCAGCTCCGTGTAAGCACTTAGATCATCTGATGTAATACCTAGAACCCTATGTAGGTTGGTATTATTAAGAGAGTGAGAAAGCTGAGGGTCAGAGTGGTTGAATCACTTGCTAGAAGTCACATAAGTGGAAAGGAGAACTGGTTTGTATGATTCCAGAGCCCGCTGCTTTCCTAGGCTTTACCTATTCCAAAGCATCCCTGAAACCAGCAAGACAGAGCACACCTTAGGGACAGACCTGACCTGTGTCTGGAGGAGTGACTTCCTGTAGTGAGTTCCACCTCCTCAGGTCAGTTTCTGGGGCTCTGTGTGTAGTGGCCCAGCCTTGCCTCCCCATCATTGCTCAAGTTCTTTTGTGACTCGACTAAATAATTCGAACCTCTTACCCTTCTATCCTGGTGACGCTCAGAAGGTTCTATTTGGAGTCCCAGCTGCAATTGTGACTCCTTGTGGAAAAGTCTTATCCGTCAGGTGGGCCAGCCGGGTTTGGCGTGCGTTCTCTGTGCATTTGGCTCTTGAGGTGGTGTATCGAAGATCTTTGTTTTTAATCACAATATTTCATGTTTTTTCTTTCCATGCTGTTCAGCATGAGCCAGTTGGGGGTAGTTGCAAATCTTCCTTTAATTTCCACTGTGATGGATTATTAGTTCACTCAAAATGGTGTTTAATTTGTACATGTGCCCTGAGGCTTTTAAATATCAAGCTCATTTGATAATTGTTAGAAATCAATTTGGACTCCAATATGTTCAACGAGCTGGACTCATGAAGCCCCGTGGACCCTGTGGACCCATTAACAGGGGCTAGAGTCCAGAAATTAAAATGGTGAGTTCTGCAGCCCCATACTCTTCATTTCTTCCTTTAAAAAAAAAAATCCATCTATTTATTTTCCTTCCCAAGAATCCACTCAAAGGAGAAACTTTTAAAATTTTCACTTAAAGGGAAGAAGACAGTACACATGATTATCTTTTGGTCCCTGGCTCCCAGCTCTCTCCTCTCACTCAGCCCCACAGGCCTCTCTTGATCCCTCTTTGTCTTGCTTTCTACTCACCCCTCATTCCCTCTAGTTTGTCTTATACCGGTTGAGCAGGATTCATATTTCAGCAAGCCACGTTTCCCCTTTCTCCTTCTCAGGGAAGGAATCACCTCTTTGGGATGCCTGTGAATTCATATTGAAGAGGGAGAGGAGCAGAGTCACTCTGGCGGCAAACTCCAATGCCTGTTGTCCGGGCTCTCCAGGCGGTCCTAGCACCAAACAGCCTGGGCTACAGCTTGTGTGGTGGATTTTACTCTCGTCTTTCTGAACTCTGAGCTGTGGCGAGGAATGAGTGTGTGTACACAAGTGTGCGTTTGTGTGTGACAAACTCACATTTAACACAGAGTATAAATGCCTATTCTGCAGAAGGTAGCTTTGAATAAGTTCTGGGATCCAGATTTGAAGCTGAGCATAAACCAGAAACCTCTGCCTGTGAAACTTTTTTTTGGGTTTCCTACAGAAAAGAAGTGAGAGAAGAAATAATTCTACTCTGGGGAAATGCATAATTTAGAAGCTGTCTGCATGTATAAGAAAACAGACTGTAGCTGCTCTATAAACTCAGACTGGCAGCCAGGGTCATTGTTTCCCTTTCTTCCCGCAGTGTTTGTATAAGACAGATGGGTCCAATGCTCCCCAGCGGGCAGGGCAGGCTGTGGACTTGAAGTGTTTGGCCTGGGAGAAGCCTACCGTTCACTTTCCTATTTCCTTACCCTGACTCACCACCGCTTCCTTTCCTGGAAATGCTGTCCTGGAAGAGGAGTATTGGAAAGGTTGAGAATATTTCAGGAAACTTCAAGTGGGGTACTTGGCTCTTTCTACCACCTGTGGTGCTTGGGCACCCAACAGCATTGGTCTACCATGGCTGCTTTGCCCATTCACCTTACCCGCTACCCAGAGTATACCCAGCGTGTGCCGGAGGGGCTCTGGACCCCGGGGTTTATGTATCTTCCTTCCCTATCTCCTTTTTTAGCCAGGCCTAACTCTGAGGCAAAGTTGAGGGAATTATTTCCCACTTCCGTATCCTTCAAGTATTTCTGTAATGTTCAGTATAACCTGATTTCATGGCTTTGAAAATAGAGGTGGGAGACTGAGCGGGGACTATATTATGCCCTGGCCCCTATAAGTCTGAGTCCCTTCAACAGTCAGATATCTCACATGTAGCTGGTCATCGTGCATGTGGAGCCTCCTTGGCCCAGGACTGCAGAAGGGACATGCTCTTACTGTGGGATAAGGGGTAGTGACTACTCTTGTCCTTCAGCCTAGTACCAGGCAGTGGTGCCGGCCACCCAGGAAGAGTCCCAGGAGTATGGTTGCCTTGGTGACTTCTGTGGTGAGAAGGATGTCAGGGAGGAGGACAGCTTCCTTTTGTAAGATTTGGTTCCAGTGAGGGTTAGAGGAAAAAGAGGACTATGATTTGCAGACTTTCTCTAAACATCCAGATGGATCCCAGACATAATCCAGCAAGGAAGATCTGATTTTGTTGTCTTCCTCCCCTGTCTCTCTAAGTAATTTTATGTTCAAAGCATGACGCAGGTGTTAATTAACACTCGCAGCTCTCCTGGGAGGTAGGCAAGTGGAAACACCACCCCCATTAGTGAAGCCCAGGAGTAGACAGGTGCCGAAACCTCAGGTGGGTGAGCCAGAGAAGCAGCATGAGTCTCAGACCTTGTGGCTCTGCCCTCAGACCTTTCCTTGGACTAACTGCTCACTTGGTTACCCTGGGGGCCACCCCACTTCCTCAGTGTCCTTGATTCCCAATAGAATAAAAGAGCTGAGGCTGTCGTGTGAGAGATGTCTGGTACTGTGGGATGAGTAATGGAAAGTCTGAGAGTTTGGGAGAAATTCTGGTAAAATTCACTGTTATTGTGAATTTTAGATGTCTGATTACACCATTGATTTCATTCACTTAAAAAAAAAAAACATGTACTGAGATTTTACTTCTGAGCCAGGTATTGGAAAGAGACTTACTTCTTCCAAAACAGCCAGCTAGCCATTAGGGGTCCTGCCGATGAGGAAGCTGATCCTTTGTATCCCATATTCAATCCTTAAGCAAAGGCTGGTGTGAGGTTTGCTGCTTCTGCAGGCGATAGCTTCGGGTGTTGGACTCTCCCGGCATCTGGAAATGAATGAGAAATCCATATGTGACTGTTGGATGTAGTGAGTATCTAGAGGCTGAACTTTTCTTTCTCCTTTTACAACTCACGTTGGTTGGCTCAGGAGGGTGAGGCCCTTAGGAGTCCTCTCCCTGGGGCTGTAGGTGGCACATCTTCAAGCCTGGCCTTATCTAGGGCTGCCTGGGAATGGCGATGATGCCAGCGTGCTGGGTGTCTGTGGAGGGAACGCTGGTTAGTGCTGAACATGCTGAGTTGATACTGAACCTCCCACTCTAGAAAAGCAGCAAGACTGGAGTTTCCAGTGGTTTCTTTCTCATTCATTGGGCATCTTGGGCATAGTACAAGAAACAGACAAGGGGATCATTTTATACTGTAAGTTTTGCCCTCTGTCTGGGTGGCAGTTGGACTTTCCTTGCTTTATAGGAGGCCCCACTCCATCGGCTAATGATACTCCCCTTATTTTGATGTTGCAGGCTGCTGAGAGCCAGCCCTAGACCTCTGCTTGAGGGTCCTTCCTCTGAAGACATCACCAGTGTGTGGAGCCTGCCCCACACCCACCCCCTGCCAAACCACGGCCTTTACCTGTGTCTTCCGGTGTTTCCCGTGCGACCCGTCCTGTGGGAGTGCCTCGTGGGCCGCCCCGGAGTTCACCCCACGCTCAGCGGCGCCAATGGTGAAGATGACAAGATCCAAGACTTTCCAGGCGTACCTGCCCTCCTGCCACCGGACCTATAGCTGCATTCACTGCAGAGCTCACTTGGCCAATCATGATGAACTAATTTCCAAGGTACACGTTTCCTGCAGGCCTTCCTTGCCTGCCCCCCCTGGGAGGGTGCTTACTGCTCCTAGGGTTGCAGAGATGTACAAGCCCTCCCCAGGAGACCAGGCTATCTGTACTCCTTTCTTACAGGGGAGGCTGACCCGCATGACTGTGTCACTCAACTGAGAAATAACTCGCAAGTTGGAGGGACAGGGTAGTAGTTTAATTTGTTAGATTGGAAATCAGACGTCATCCCTGTTGGAGGTTTTGGGGGCTAGCAGCTTGCAGGCCGGAGAAGGGATGGGCTGAGCAGTGACTGGAGCCTAATGCCCTGCTTGCTTGGTTTAGGTTGGCAGTCAAACGCTGTGAAACTGAATTCTAAGAAAGCGAACCTCTTATAAGAGGGGTTCCTTAGCTGAGATGAAATAGTCCCTGGGAAAGTTGTGAGACTGTGGAAGTACTAAAATGGGTGGTCTTTGGGGAGGACCAAAAATGGCGTGTTGGAGAGTTGACCCACTGGCCTGCGGGGGCCTCTAGGTCTTATACATGAGGTAATATGGTGTGAAATTTGCTCATAATGAGAAGAAAGAATGAAACCCTGATTTTCCTGAGGAGCTTTGGCAGCTGCTTCTTAAAGTTGGAGCTAGGTGGGTTACTAATAAATAAATAAACCCAGCATCCCTGTTGTGCAATCCAGGGACTGGATCCTTCAGGCAGCATTCTCAGGGGAGCTGCCTCCCTCCTGGCCCTAGATTCCCCGGGGAGGAGAAACAGGTTTTACTAGGCATCATGACAAAGACATCATGGGAGAGTTTTCCCTTAAAAAGTGTCTTTACCCAGAATCCAGTCTTCCTACCATTAATGTAAAAACAAACAAACCTTTATGCAGACCCAGATGAACTTATTTTCTTTAATCAATGTTCTGATCTATTTACAAGAGCTGCTGGGAAAGGTGGCGTTGCTTTCTTGCTTCTGGTTTGGTAACCCCAGCCAGAGAGGGGCGAAGGATCCAGCCCACGGTCATTGAACAGTCCTGTCCAGCTGGCTGGTTTGACGCAGGAAGTGGAGAAGGCTGCCCAGACAACCACGTCTGTGGTAGTGGGGGTTCTCAAATCAGGCCCAAGGACTGAACCCCTTGTTCTAGGCCTATTCCAGGGTATAGGGTTACCACAGAGCTAGACTCCTGGAGCCCTATCCTGTGACCAGACTTTCACTCTGCCCCACTTTTCTTTCTCTTCATTTTCTACTAATTACTCTCCTTTATGCTGTTTATGTTTCAGTCAACCTTTAGTTTTCTTCTCTTTCAACTAATCCGTCTTTTTTCAGACTCTCTTTGAATTTTGGGGAACCCCTTAAGTCTGGAAGTTTGGATGTGGGGAGGCTACGTCAGTGAGGGAAGAGAGGAGTCCATCCCCTGGGCATTGGAAGTGGCCTGCAAACTTGGAGGGGAATTGTGAATAGTCCTTTTTTGGGAAATCTCCAGAGAAAGTGTTTTCCTGTCTCTAGTGGGGAAGCCAAGGCATCATTTTAATATAAGGAAGACGTGCTATATATCATAAGACATTGAGGTACCAGTAAAGTGTATTTTAGCACCATCTATGGAGTAAAAGCTGCTACTTGACACTTTATAAATGTTATCTCACTTAACCCTCATAAGAAGTCTTTAAGCTAGGTGATGTTAGTCATATTTCATACAGATGGAGAAGTTGAAACTCGTAAAAGTCCAAGATCTCAAATCAGAGGCTCAAAGGAGAGGGAGTGATAACTTTGAGTAGGTGCTTAGGAAGGATTTCTGGACGAGGTGGTTATTTGAGCTGGGCCTTGTAAGACAGGCAGAAGCTGCATATATGGAAATGGTAATGGTCTTCAGAGTTTGTGTCTTATCTCTTTGGTCTGGTATACAGGGCCTTTGACAATCTGGCAGAGCCTAGCTTTTGAGTTAGGTCTCCTGCCAGTTCCTCACTTTGTTTCAGCCACAGGGCACTAAGCAGCGTTCCCTGAATATGCAGGCAGGAGTATTTCAGGCCTCTGTACCTCTACCATGAGTGCCCCTCCTTCTGCACCTCCTTCCTCTCTCCTGTGAGCCCTTCCACGTCCTTGGGCCATGGCCTGCCAACTTTGTGTCTCCCAGTCAGAACTTGACCCATGGCAAGAGCTCAAGAAATGACCAAATAGACAGATGGATGGAGCTTGAACCTTGAAGACAAGTAATGAGCAAAAAAAGACTTTGTTGGCTTCATGCCCTCCTTCCTGCCCCTTTTGGGGCAGAAAGACTCATTCACAAGTCCAGGCCAAAGTCAGCACAGGCTTCGGTTTCACTGGCTCCAGCCAGTGCACAGATGGGGTGCATTAGAGCTTGATGATTTAGAGAGTTGGGTGAAATGCCTGACTGTGGGGAAAGCGTGAGGGAGCTGTGGTTGGCATTGCACAAAGATTCCTTTATTTCACTCCGCAGCCACCCCCGGCGTTAAATAATCTATAGATTCTTATGCAGGTCTGCTTAATGGAAAGATCACTGCCCCAGCCCCCTCCTTGGAAAATAAGCCTTTCTTTTCATTTTTCCCCTGTCTTCTATTTAAGAAAGTTCAAGGAGAGAATGTCTCTCCTGTTCTTCCTTCTTGACTTAATCTCCTATGCAGTTTCAGAATCTGCCCAGTGGGAGTTAGGAGCTGGGAAGCAGATAACTGGAGCTGAAGCGGCAGTGTAATTAAATGATACTTTGTACTTGTACGTAGGGCCTTTGGTCTGAAAGCTTGACGTTTATTTGGTGCAAAAAAAGAGAGTGAGTCTGTTCATTATGGAGAAGTGATACAAAGGTCTGAGTATGTGGCCAGCAGAGAACTGAACCGGAACTTCAAACACCCTTCCTATCAGTGTGCTTATGCCTTCGTGGAAATGTATAGCTGTAAGTTTTTAAAAGCATTTAGAGTCTATATTGGCATGGTGGTGGAAAGAATCCTGCACTGGGCTTTCCACCTTCCCAGCTTGCTCTAGCTCCCTAAAGGCTTCGTTGCCTGCAATCAACTGTTTAACCTGAATCTTAGTTTCTTGCTCCTAAAATGGGTAAAATAGTATTTGCTGTGTTTATGGGTGTCTTAATCCACTAGGGCAGCCAAAACAAAATACCATAAACTGGATAGCCTGTACACAACAGAGATTTATTTCTCGCAGTTCTGGAGGCTGGGAATTCCAAGATCAAGGTGCTACCAGATTCAGTGTCTGATCAGGGCCTACTTTCTGGTTCATAGACAACTCCTTCTCATTATAACCTCACATGGCAGAAGGGAGGGATCTCTCTGGCCACTTTATAAGGACACTAATCCTATTCACAGGGGTTTTGCCCTCACGACCTAATCATCCTCCAAAGGTCCCACCTCCTTATGCCATCATCTTGGGTGAAGATTTCAGCATATGAATGGGGGTGGCACAGACATTCAGACCGTAGCAAATGGCTAGTAGCCAGCATAGTGTGTGCTTACTACATGCCTTCCCCGTAACAGCCCTATGTGGGAGGCATACCTTACTGGGGAGAGAGAGCAGGTTTCTCTCATTGGGTTCTTACAAGGCTCAGGTGAGATCATGAATGTGTGGGTGGTTTGCAAGTTAAAAAGCTCTATGCAAATATTATATAAAGTAGACTGTTTGTGTGTCCTGATCTTACTGTTCAAAAGGAAAAAAAGGCAAGGGGGGTGGGTTGGAGGGGATCGTTTCTGCCTGGTACCAAGCAGATTTAGTTTAGCCAAGATCGCTTTGCTTTGGAACATGGAGCACAGGAGTTGGATTTGAGGCAAGGGCAATAGAAAGCTGAGTTGGTCTGTAGAAGGTAACACAGCATTGATCTGTAGGATTGGGGAGGGGGGACTCTTTGAATTGATGACAGAACTATCTAGGGAATGTGCTGAGGCATCCTACAATTTCTTTCTTAGGGGGTGTTGTGGTCTAAATGCTGGCGTGTTTACACCCAGAGGTATTTTGAGTTGGCACGAGGAATTGCTCACATTGTTGTTTCTTGCTTAATGGTGCAAGCCCTAGTATAAAAATATGCTTTGGTTATAAAATAATAATAGCTTCAATTGGAAAAGTTAGTTGCCCTAAGTGAGAATAATCTAAGCACTCATTTCAGTGGACACGATCTATTATGGAAACCTGAATCTTCACATGGCTTTTGTATGAAAAATTTCTGTCTGTGGTCCTTGCCTTGCCTCCCTCGTGCCAGCCCCTCAATGGCATTGTGTTGTAGGCCATTTAGGAAAGGTGTACTGGATTAATCTGTCACTCACCCACTTTGGGGACTTGTGACTTCATTCCATGGCACAGGCTGCCCTAGTGCTCTGGGTTGGTGGAGGAAAGGTGTTACAGGAGGCTATAGAGTGGGTGCCTAGTGTAGATGGAAAGAAGAAATCTTTTCTTACCCTCAGACTATTTAAGTTATTGTCATGTTAGGTCTTTAGGTCAGATTATCTTCTGGTGACAAATACAGGATTCTCAGAATTGCAGATCATCTGATCCAAGCCCCTCTTGATGAGGAGACAGGCCACAGGTAACTCGGTGACCAGCCTGAGGTCACAGCCTCAGAGACAGGGATCTCTACCTCATACCACTCAACTGTGTTCTGTGTGAGGAGCCCTGGCCTGACTTTTCTCAAGTACCAAGCAGTCCTTCTGAAGTTGGGGATATTTAGGAGGCAGGTTGTTTTTGTTCCCTGTGGGGTTCCATTGGGCTTACAGTGGTAACACTTTTGTTTTCCCTTCCTACCTAGAAATTAGATGCAGCATCGCTTTGAGAGGCAGGGAGTAAGATGGTCTAAAGCTTTGTGTTGATCTAGTGGCTGCCAAGAGGCTGGCTCTGCCCTCAGTTTCCCACCTCTGGCTCTGAGCCCTGGTCTTCTACACCAGTGAGTCTCAAAAAGACTTTTATGCCCAATGCAGTGGCTTAGAGGTAGTGCACACGGAGGGGATGCTGGTATAGAAGTGCAAGGATCTGTCCCATCCTGCGCTGTGCCTGTCAGCATAGGGATTTATTTCTCT